TCAAGTTGAATCGCAACACTTTAAAAATGGTTGTAGCTCCCTCAGTCATTTGGCTTTTAAACACTTCCAGTCCCTTCACTTTGTCCTGTCCTTCTCCTCTAGCTTCCAGGTAGGTACAGGAGACTTCATAGTACTGAGAAAGTAATGTATACTCTGGCCTTTATAGGAGGACCTTTTACTTGTGGTGCTCTGCAGGGGTCCAGGACTTCAGGAAGCTTTCCTTAACTCATCTTGGGTTGAGGGTTCCTATTTTGGTTTCTGTATTTTAATTGTTTATTTCTTTTTCTTCCATTCACTTACATTGAGTTTCCAGGCTGAAACTCATTTATCTAGTTTGGCCACTAGTCATGTATATGCTTTGTGTACTTGTTGAATCAGAAAATATTAGAATTTGAGTTCTCTTCTAACCCTGTCAGTATTTTCACTTTGTGAAACAAAGTGGACAAGTATTTTATGGTTTTATAAAGGTAGGGAAATAATACAATTTAAAAAGCCAACCACTATTTGAATTATGTTATATAAATCTGATATTTTTGATACTTAATTTTCTTTAATTTTGGAGAAGAGAATAGATTGATAAATTCTGTCAGTCTTGCAGAAATTTAAGAAGATTTAAAAAAGTGAACTTGAAAATAAAAATTGTTTTCAGGACCAACTTTTTATCAAAACCTATAAAAGTAAGGAGAGAAATTCAAAAGAACAGATGTTAAAAAAAGACTGAATGTTTTCTGCTGGATTTCTACATGATGGATACTGAGACTTAGTTTTACTTTTGAAGGAATGGATGAGTAATGTTATATAAAAGTTTGAATTATGACTGAAAGTGTAAATGTGTTATCATAAGCAATTGAATTTTGGCAATTTACTACCTACAAATATTCTATCCTAAGCAACTGAATTTAGGTAAACTTCCTGCAAATCACTGTAGTCTCACTTTCTGTGCTAATTTCAGGTGGTTCTGAGGCAGTGATAAATAAGATAAATGCTAAATTTAAATTTATAACAGATGGTGAACAACTTTGACAAGCCACAACCATTGTAACAACCTCTTTTTTGTATTGCTTTTTCCATCAGAATTTTTTAGGGTAACTAGAAAGTTATTTGTGCTTTCAGGCGTTTTTTCTACATATTTGTGGTACAAACATTTTCATTTATTAGGTGCTGTGAAATCTGCATTGTGCCAAATAATTTGTGTTTGAAGCACTGATTTTGTTGTACTTAAAAGGTGTGCCTACCTGTAGTACAGCTTGGTAGAAAGTGACTTTCCTGTTTCCTAGTAAAACCAAATATTGTTTGCTTTTTATCTCCTGGACTAGAGTTATCAACTAGTTATTAGGGAATTCTGTGGTCAAGGGAAAAATCTTTAGAGGATTATTAAGGATTTGGCAATTCTGTCATAATGAAGGAAGGATACACAGTTTTTAAATTAAAACGATTTTCTTATATTTAACTTTTCTAGCTGAGTACATACATAATAAGACTGCCAGATAAAATAACAAATAATGTCACATTAAACTTGAACTTTGGGTAAATAACAAATTAGATTTTAATATAATTCAAATATTCTTAGGAAATACATTAAACTTTTTAAATTTATCTGATAAGTATTATTATTATTATTATTATTATTATTATTGGAGATAGGGGTTTACTATGCAGTTCTGTCTGGCTTTGAACTCACTGCGATCCTTCTGCCTCAGCTTCCTGAAGAGCAGAATTATAGGAGTGCGCCACCACACCCAATTTGAAAATCAAATTTAGAAGTATTTTTATGTATTAAATCTGTTAGCCTATCTTACAACACATTGTAAGAGTGCAGTGAAAGGTCAGTGCCAGCAACCTCTGGCTTTGCTATGTCCCATTCCTGTTAGTTTTTGGATAACTTGCAGAAGTAGCTTGTGCATATGTGCCTCTTATGCTTGGTAAACAGATGTGTATTTTTTTTTTTTTTTACTTCCACACATACGTCTTATGCTTTACAAACATGTACATGCTCATTTTTACTTGCACAAGCATTTTCTTGTATAAACAAGAAGTGATAACTTAATTGTCTTGTGTCTTATTTTTCGAATTTGACATTATATTTCAAATATGTGGTTTTTTTTAAAACAAGGCTATTTCAAAAATATGAGGTAGTGCAAAAAGTGTGCCCTTTGAAATTAGGCAAATTCGAAGTTCTCCTACTTTCTACTTGGTGGCCTTGAGTAGGACTTCATACCTTCCTCTATTGTCCTAAACATTGGGCCCCACGAATTTAGTCCCTTGTAGGGTACCAGCTTCTGTGTTTTCTGGTGGTGGGTATGAAGCAAGCCCAGGGATTGGTCTGTGCTTAGGCCATACTGTGCCTCTGAGTTGCATTACATCCTGGGAGCCATGTTTTCAAATGTACTTTGAATATTATTATGGAGAGGTATTTTCTTGATTAAAAAATTTGCATTTTAGAAATGATTGGGGCTGGGGAGATGGCTCAGTGGAATAAGCGCTTCCCTAGCAAGCGCAAAGGCCTGAGTTCAATCTCCAGTTACACACACACACACACACACACACGATTTGTTTAGGCATATATGACCATTACTTATGTTTATTTGGGAGACCTACCAATAATCTCTAAAATACATGGAAAAGAATGATTTGTTTAAGCTCTTACCTTTTTTGGTCATTACTACTATGATAAATTTCCTTGGGAACCTCCAAAAGTCTTCTGTTTTTTTGTTTTTGAGTTTACAGACATGAGAACACATGAGAGAAATAGTGAAACTGTACTTTTTAAAAAATGACTAAAGTGCAACAATGGTAATGCTTGTATTTAAGAGCTAGCGCTACTGACTTGCAGCTTAATTGGTTTTTTAAACCTGTACAAGGATTGTTTTTCTTTGGAAGGGGCTATATTCTGTTTCTTCATAACTGACTTACAGTGAACTTTAGACAGCAGTGTTTTTCTCAGTTGGCAGCCACCTGCTTTACTGTTTTGCTGTCTTCATACACTGGTGAACCTTTAAATTCGTCAGCTCCCTCTCCTCATGTTCTGAGTACTGCCTGTCTTTCTGAACTAATACTTTATAGGGGAAAATGGATGAAACTAAATTTTATTGTACCTGTCAAGCCTAATCCATGTAATCTTTTTCTTTAAATATTTTATAAATGTTATTCATTTGTAAATAGATTCAGGTTTAGCACAGATAGGTAACTTAACAAGGTCTTATATTTAGTTGATGGTTGGGTTGTCAGCTTGTCTTGCCTATGTGTGGCCATTGTGTTCATGCATCCCACTGGCTATTGAATTAGACAGCTACACAGGAGTAGACCTGGATGGTCTTGTCTTAGGGAATACTTACTTTCAGTTTTTATTACCTGAAGGCAATTATTAATGAAGGTACCTAGTGGTATACTAGTTAAGTTAATTTAACTTAATTATTTTTGTGGTTCTGGGGCTGAACCCCGGGCCTTCACACTGAGCTACGTCTTTAGCCTTTTTTTTTGAGACAGTTGCCTGGACTGTGATCCTTATGCCGCAGCCTCCCAGAGTGCTGGGATTATGCACATGTGCCACCACTGTGCTGTGTTATGGAGTATTACATAATGCTTAATAAGAATTAATATAACCCTTAAATAAGAATTTTAAAATATTGCTAGTTTATTTTTAAGATGTGCCTGTATTCTGCCTCATGACGACTATCTATATAGACTAAGCATTAATCTTGGATATATATTTTATAGCTATGAGGTATTCTGTGAGCTGTAATTGGCATAATTTATCTCATTTATGACAAGATTCCAGATGCATATTTTCTAGGAAAATGAAGTTGGAATGATTGGTCTATTGCTCGGGGCCACATCGCTATGTAGTGTGTGAGAAATCAGAGCCAGTACTCTCTTTTCTTGAAATCAAGGCATTTTTAAAATCATGTTCCAGCATTTGAGCCATTTGACTGGATTGAGTTGATGTTTATAGTAGCGCATTCTAAATTGAGGCAAGGAAATTCAGTTAGTAGTGTTCTTTTATTACAGAGAGCAGATTGTAGGCATTGATGTTCTGTACAGCTCTTCATCCACATCATCCACTTCTTTTCTCAACATGTGTATTCTAGGGTTTAGGCAACCTGTTTTTTTTCTCACAAAAATTACTTGTCTCATTTAGATGAGGAATGAGATCATGTGGTGATAGATTCCTTTTCTTCACTGGAAAAAGGATCAGCTGACTTCCCAACTGAGGATTTTCTCGGAGCCAAATGTAGAGGTAGCTGTGGAGACAACTACAGAATCTGGCCAGCACAGATCGAAGATGGTCAAAGATGTGCACACTGGCAATGAAGATTTGTGTGCAGTACACATCTGTGTGCAGTGCAAACCTACATGAAAAGTCTAGTTAGGCGCTGGTAGAGAAAGATGGGATCTGTGTCGGCTGAAGAAATGGAGAAGTTTCTCTTTTTTGAATGGAAAGATTATAATCCATGGGAGAGTATGTTAAAACCTTTGAAGCATAGCACTACACTTTCATTTATCCCATTTTTAATCCATGATTTAATGTGTTGTCATCCAGTGGTCAGTTTCTAATGAGTATGTGTATATTGTTTCCCCAGTTAAGGCTGTGAACATTAAGGACAAGAGTGTAGCTGCTTTTTAACATTTTTTGCTCCATTTCTTATGTATACTCAAGTGAGTTCCTTACTCTGTGGTTAATGATCTGTACATTAATCTGAGATCAGACTGTTCTATGCTGAGATTAACTTAAGGAAGTATTTTGAAAACATCTGTCATCTTATTTAAAATAGAATTTATGCCTTTGTTATGAAACTTATTGGGAGCACATACCATTTTTTGAATAAATTATAAAATGTCAACTTTTTGCCTATAAAGAGAACAATGTTAAGTTAAACAAGTAAGATTTTAATGCTTAAAGAAATTATAATGGTATCAGGTATTTTGTAGGGTAGTTTTAGAATATAGTTATAAAGTTTTGATAACACATGAACATTCCATTTTATTTCTTTTCTTTATAGGTTTCCATTTTAGTTGCTGTCTTGAATTATTATAGAAGGAAACACTGAACTTTGAAAAAATGTTGGAAACCATAGGTAAGACACACTTCTTTCTGTCTTTGTAAGAATTGACACTACTTTCATTGGGATATCCGAATAAAATATATTCTGCACAGCAGGCTTCTGCTTATAATAACTTAGATTTAAAGTTCTGTGATCATAAGAATTGTACTATAATAATGTATTTCTGTACTTGGGGGAAAATTTTCCTATTATAAAAAACCCCATATCCTATGTAAACAAAATAAACAGAAGATGTGCTTCATTTATGGGTCTTAATCAACTTTAATGTATATCCAATTCTGATTTTTGAACCCAGTTCTAATTAATATAATATGTGGTTCTGGATGGCACCAGGGGTTTTAATAATATTTTTGATGCTGAAAGAAGATCATCCTTTTTTCTTATACTTGTGGCAGTTGAAACGCTGCGGAGCTCTTGCTATTAATTAATATAAGAGATCAGCGATAAGCACTTAGGCTGAAAACCACATGTAAGACATTTGAACTTCTACAGAAATTGAGGTTGAAATATCCAAATATCTCAAGCTCATGTATTAATTGTGTTTATTTCCACTGTTTAGTTTTAGAGAAATTAGCTTAAAAACCATTTACAGGTATGTGAGGTGTGACACAGACCTGCGTTCACCTGGCAGCCTAATTCCTTATCCCAGGTAGCTTTTTGTCGACGTAGATTGGAATGTGTCTGTGATTTCACTTTGGCATTTTAGTGATTATGTTTGATTCCTTGGCAGGTTATGGAAAGCAAAAGAATAGTTGGTAGGAAAGGGAAAAGGAGGATTGTTTCCTCTGATTGTATGACTTTTGTGCCTGGTTATTCTATATTGGTCACGAAAACACATATGAGTACATCTCCTGTATCACTGTATACTGAAGTCAGATATCATAAAGACTACTGGCCTACACAGGGAAGTTCCTCATAGGAACAGAAAGAGGAAATACAGAATAACTTCAACCATTTCTTTTTTTCTATTCTATTAGTTATTACTGAGCTTATATAATAATATCTTCTAAGAATTGCCATTAAAATTAGTAATTGATTTATATTCTAAGATTTCATGGCGAATGTAATCCAGAATAAAATTCTCATGTGTATCTTTATCATTACATGCTTTAAGATTTTTACATTAGCAAATATTATTTAATGTGTGTGTATGAATTTATGATAAATTCATGTTTCAATTGCCCCATTTTTCCATAATTTCAGATTTGGAGCTATGAAAAGTTATCTGTTGTAATGACTGCAGTAAACATGCACATAAGGCATTAGGACAATTAGGCCATGATCAAAATATTTGTCTTTATAGTTTAGTGTCTATTATATAAGATGCTTAATCCTTTTTGAATTCGGCTGGTTTGAAACATAAATACGTTATTTAATTTGGGGGCATGCTATAGTTTGTGTCTGGATGTCTTCTCAAAGCCTCATGCAGCCGTAGGGGTATGCTCTTTGGAGGAAGGCTGAATCTAGAGGTTGTGATTGATTCATTGTCTGGGACTAGGATCACTGGTGTGAATGCTGCACCCACCCTGTGATGAATAGCATACGTATAATATAAAGGACAGAAAGAGTCTTGTGCTCCTCCTTTTTTGCTCTTGTTTCTTCTGCTGTCTTCTACTACCATGAATTGTTATCCCTGCCACACTACCCTGCCTTGGAGCCAGGTGAAATGGAGTGAAGTCTCCAAAAACTGTGCACTAAGCCTTTTTTTCCCCCATTAATTTTGGGCAAAGACTTTTTGTCTCAGCAAAGAGAGAAAAATAACTAAGACATAATTTCTTACCAGAAGTGAGGTCCTTGCTGTGAGTGTTCTTGACTATTTGGTTGAAGAGCCTTTGGGACTGGCCTATGGGAAGAGTTTGGAAAGGATTGGTGCTGTCACCTGGAAGAGTAGCACTTGAATGCCTTAGACTGTTCTCTCTGGTCAGAGCACAGAAGATCAGAAGGTTGATAGAAATCCTGCCATTAAAGTCCAGGTTTGGGGTGTTTCTGTTGGAAAAAAGCACGGCATTGATTGTTGGACTCCAGATAATGTGTGTTGTGGCTCAGCAAAATGTTTGTCTGCTTTATGTTCATGTCCAGAGACTACTTGAGACCAGGATTAAGGGTGGTGGACTAATTAAACTGGCAGAAAAAATTTCAAGGTGGTTGAATATTGAGGCGGTGGTGTGGCTATTGTTGAATGCTTTTAGCCAGGTGTGTGTTGAGAATCAAGAGCAAAGAGCTCACTAGAATGATTTAAAACGCTGTGAATTTGCTGAGAAAGCAAGCTCCAATGAGACTGTGAACTGCAAAGATAGAACAGGAGATCTTGATTGCTGAGAAGGAACAGGAGACTACCTAAGACATCCAGAAGACATCACAAGACGCAACAAGTATGCACCCTTTAAAGACTCAGAACTGCAGAAATGACTTTGAGAAGAAACCTGTAGCATACCATGTTCCAGAATTGTGGCAACATATCCAATTTGTTCCTCCCAGTTGGATTCAGAGTGCTCAGCAACCAGGCAATCAATTATGACAACCAAGAGGGAGAAAAGTCTGGCTACCACTCTTGCTGGCAGGAGATCATGACATCATCCACATGCTGCCTTTAAGTCACATGTAGAACGCAAGAGTTGTGAGGTTAAGAAGGCTTCCACCCTGATTTCAGAAGGCCTAGGAAACCAGGCAGTGTGCCCCTTGAGAGGGAAGTATGTGAAGCTGTGAGGGTGAAGCCAGTGGTGCAGTGGGGAACTCAGAAGTTTGAAAAAACTAGAAATACGTATTATCTGAGGAAATCTGTAAGAGGGGAACAGAACAGGCCTAAGAGAGAAAGCCTTGGGAGCTGCAGCTACCAGAAGTGCCATAGGGTGGAGTCACTCGAACCCTTTGGAGCCCTCAACTTGCCACAGATTGTTTTGGATGTTCCACGTGGAACTATAGGACTTAATATTTGTCTTTTTCAATTTTGGACTTGTGTTGGTCCCGTTCTTTAGTGTCCCTGTGTTTGTAATTTTTGAAACAGAAATATCTGTCATGTACCATTGAGTACATGGAAGTGTTTAACTTGTTTTCATTTGTACATGGACACAGCTTAGAGTTTGCCTTAAATCTCTGAGACTTGGGAATTGTACTTTTCAGCAATGCTGAAACTGTTAGAACTTTGTCAACTCTTGGAGATAGACTAAAGGTCTTTTCCATAAAGGAATGTGCATGAGTCTGGGGGACCAGAGGCAGAATGTTATGGTTTGTGTCTACATGTCCCCCATAGCCCCATGCACTCATAGTATGCTTTTTGGAGGTGGCTGAATCTTGTGTTTTTTGATTGATTCATTGTCTAGGGCTGGGATTATAGGTGGGAATGCTACACCCACCCTTGGGTGAGTAACGTACATATAATATAAAGGACAGAAAGAGTCTTATCTTGTGCTCCTCTCTTTTTGCTCTTGTTCCTTTTGCTGTCTTCTGCTACCATGAACTGTTACCCCTTTGGCATATGACCTTGCCTTTCAAAATCAAGTGATGTATTATTCTTATATATGTCTGTACAAATTCTCAATTATAGAGTGTTTGGCTTCTTAATATATAAAGTTCTTATATTTTAGATATTGTGATTCAGCATTTCCATGATCACAAAACATTTGGTTTTACATAATTTATATCAAAGAGTTGAAACAGCTGTCATTGGAGTTAAACTATATAACCTAAATCAATTTTGTGACTTTATAAGCATTTGATATATTCCCTTCTTAAAAAGATATGAAAATTTTATTTGTACATAAATGAGCCAATTAGATTGAAGTATATGTATACATACTATTTCTCTTAGTTCATTTTCTCATTGCTGAGAGAAAGTTGGAGGAGATTGGGTTTGGCTAACAGGTTGCAGAGGTTTCAGCTGTAGTTGTTAAGCAGAGTGCTTGGCAGAGGCATACTGCAGGAGCTCATGGCAGGCAGGAGATAGCAAGGCAGCCAGGTGACGCATCCAGGAGCCAACCCCAAGCAGGGAGCAGCCAGCCTCTCTCTGTCCCCCTTGCATTATGGCCAGGTTTCTTGTTTTGGGGGCAGATAGCACTCACACCTTTAATCCTAGCACCCTAATTGATCATTGCATACTGAATCAGTCACACACTATATAGATCCAGCCATCTCTGAAAAATCCCCACCTGCGACTTCAGGAGGCTTTAGAGGGCTATCTAGGTACACTCCAACACTATTCAATATTGAGGTAAGATATTTAAAGTATCACAGTGTACTCAGCCATCTACTTCTGGTACTGTTGTATTCCATGAAGATTTTTTGTACTTCTATTCAATTTTGTACTCCGATATAAAGAGACAATTTTGTGTACTCAAAAGGAACAATTTTAGGATTTCTACAAGCATGAGGTCCTTCTATACTTCATTTATATATTTTGAATACTATTACTAACTAATGCTCTTCTTTGAAATAGACAAAAATCGGGCCCTACAAGCAGCAGAGCGCTTGCAAGCCAAGCTCCGAGAACGTGGGGATATAGCAAATGAAGACAAACTAAGCCTTCTAAAGTCAGTGCTGCAGAGCCCACTCTTCAGTCAGATTCTGAGTCTGCAGGCCTCTGTACAGCAGTTGAAAGATCAGGTAGGACTTCACTGACTGATCCCACATTCCCCGCATGGGGTAGACCTTCTGAAGTAAGTCTGTGTTTTTCTAAAGTGTGTTTTTGGTACATGTTAATGAAGTCACTTAAATCACCAAATAAGACATTCAGATTCACTGTTGCATTTTTCCTCCAGTTATTTTTGTAGGGGTTGTTACTGTGTATTGTGGATGATATGACACTGTGTTGAAAGCTGTGTGGATGAGGAGGAATGATTTCCTACAAGAGACAGGGATAATAAAAATATGTTTGGGGTGAATGGCTGTAGGCTTGATGTCCATCATCACTAGGCTCATTGTTCAAGTGATCTTGCTCATTCACATTCAGACATTTAGTATACTTCCATGATTTCAAATAAGCCTGGATTTGCATGTGTAATCATGTGTGTAAGGAAGGGAAATTGCCTCTATTTTGACAGTAATAGAAATAATTACATTGTCATCAGTTAGAGGAATTGCAATTCTCACTTTCTTAAAAGAGTGTAAGTTGCAATTGCCTCCATGACAGCGTCAGATGGTGATCAACATTAGAACTTCTAAATGTAACAGTTTTTTTCCTCTAAAAATTACAAGCATTAAGAAGTTTGAACACATATATTAGAATTGAAATATATCCCAACGACAGAATGAAACTGAAGTAAAATGTTCTCTGAAATTACTTCATTTAATCAGTGTTTCTCAGATTTTAAAAATATTTTTAAAACAGTTCTTATTGTCACAAGGTTTGAAATCAGTCTAATTATGCCTTCATGTCAGTTCTCATTCTCATGTTTTTAGCATTAATTTAATTAATGGTTATGGATGAGTTGCTAGCAGATATTCTCCCTTAAAAGGTTACAATGAGACCTGATGGATAATTTCATAATTCAGTGAAAGAAGAGCTCCAATTAAAAACCTAAGCTGTGCCAAACACAAAGAACAAATAGTAGTATTAGAGGAACAATTTGCTTAGTATTACATAACATCTCAGTTTAGATATGTGTTTCTGTAGCCTTTCAACCTATCCCCCAAAAAAGTAATCAAGAAGAATCTTCGAAAGTACTTTTCTGTAGCGAATTGATGCTTGCAGTTTGAAAGTCACAATCATGAATTTATAGTGCTTTTTTTTAAAAAAAAAAGTATGTAGTTTTCTTCCATTTGTCCCTTTTGCAAATTACTCAAAGGACTGGTTTTCATTACTGATTTTCAGTATGGATTGGTAAGGTTTTGGAGAAACCAGCAGTCTAAATATAAGTGCAATTTTGATGTGGGAAGTGATTTTGTTTCTTTTAGATTGTAAAGAAGTTAAATATGTATTTTCTGCCTTATTGTACTCAGTGAAAATATGATTAGAATGAGAGGACAATTGAAACAAAGAACACCAGCAGATACTGTGTATCTAACTTGTGCTAGTTCCTGGGAGCTAGCCTCACGGGAAGGCAGGAATGCTTCTTTGGACTCTGTGACATTTTCTATATAGCTAAATCTCTGATTTATGAATGAGTTTGGTTGTAGGAGGAAGTTCTTAAATCGGAGTTATAAGTCCTGCAAAGTAAGTCTTATACTTTTGACACACCGCGTGCACACACACACACACACACACACACACACACACAATATGAAGCATTAAAAACCAAACACACAAAATATTGTAAATTTACAGTTGGTTACCGTATAGTGTGGTCCACTACAGTGCTATTGTAAATAAGCAAGTTTACAATTACTTTAAAATGGTAAGGAAGATATGGTGAGCTCATTCTACTATATGTTTGTAATGTGAGGCCCTTTCATACATGTCAAAGTTGGAAACTTGCGACTTGACAACTTGGGGATTTGCTAGTATTTGGGTCCTACAGAACTCAGACGAAGTCTACTTGGAAATCTGTGATGCATATTCATTAAACTTCCCATTCTGTGATTAATATAGCATGGTATTGTTTTATTAATAATGTATTTCGAGACTTCAGTTTTGATGTCTGTGAATTCTGTTGGCATTTTTTACATGTTGTTGAACTTTTGTCTCCTTAATCATTTTTCATATATGGGAGAAAACTAACACTTAAAATGTGCCAAGGGGGGGGGGCTGCCCATTAGCTCAGTTGTTTAAGTGCCTGCTTAAACAAAGCATTCAAGCTCAAGCTGCTGTGGTTCGAACCCAGATACTCATGGCAAAAAAGAAATACCTTAAAGGAATCTGCTGGCCTCCAAAAAAAAGAAAGAAAAAAGAAAAAATGGGGCCTGGGAAATGGCTCAGTGGAATAAGTGCTTCCCTGGCAAGCACAAGGGCCTGAGGTCAATCCCCGGTTCTGGAAAAAAAAAAAGAAAGAAAAATGTGCCAAGAGAACATGCAGTCCAGATCCTGTTTGTACCAGTGGCTCAGTGCTGTAAGTGGCTGATGTGTAACGAGAGAGCCAGACTAGGACTTCTTGGCTCCCGAGTACCATCCTTCTTTCATTTGGGCTCTGTGGCCTATCTTTTATTTTTAAGGTTAGAAACTTGATTGCTAGAGTTACGAGTTTCATATTGATAAATTCTCAAAGTTTCTGTGATTTTTCACTTCAGCGTCCATTCTTTATTAATTTAGTTCTGATTATTTTACCAGCTTTTTGTCCTCCTAATCATTAGAATAAAATTTCAAAAGCTGCATTATCTTTTGTTTAAACATTTAAATTAGTCTAGATTACATTGTGTTAGATTTATCAACTGCTAACTTCATAATCATAACTTAATAATTAATGCAATTAAGGAACACAGTTTGTTTCATACTTTTAAACTAGAGACTACCCAAATCTCAGCATTGGCTCGCCTTTATTGGCTACCTTATGCTCGAATTATGATTTCTAATGTATAATTTTATATGCAGAACAGTGCAAGCTACTGTTTCTGTCTTTTTGCATTCACTGGAAAGTTGGGCTTCTCCCTTGCCATCATTTTCTCATCTTCCTGAGAACCAAGGGGAGCACATAATTGAAATGCCACGGTACACGCAGCATACTGGAGAACACGATCATATTGTGCTTACTGACAGATGCTGACATGCCATGTTGAATTAAGCCTGCAATTTTTTTCCCTCAGATCTTTCTCATTACTTTTATTCAATAATGTTTAATTTTTGCAATGCTTCTTTAGTATTAAGACTGCCCTTAGAAATCAGACTGTTTCCCTTTGGCAAATTAAACACTTGACAGGTGTGTAACTGAGAGGGTAGAAAAGCTGTGCCCTGAAGGGATGTGCTATTTAAATATTGTCAAAAATATTAACAGGTCTGAGAGTATAATTGATGCCTCTGTTTAACTCTGTCACATTGTGTATTGTTCTAACCGCCAGCTAAAAGGATGTGTGCTATTAAACTTGAATAATCTCTAATAGCTCCTGTTCATTTCCTATTGTACCATCCCTGTTTTTAAGTGAGGAGAGTGAAAAAGAACTATGTCAATGATCTGTCAAATGCAAATTCTCAGGTAGTGTCCTCACTGTCACCTAGTCATCACAGCTATTACCTAAAGGGCTTACTGTGTATGCATGACAAAAATCCATCTATTGTGGGGGAAATAAACATGTTAGCAGTTTAATAATAAAAATGTGTCAGCCTTGAGGATATTGGATTTGCATATTTATTTTGCGTTTCTTAGTCCAGTACAGGTGGGATGCTCCCTTCCTAATTAATCTCCTAGCTTTATGAATTGATTGCAGGCACTAAATCAATCTTCTGATGGAGTGTTTTGTAAAATGCCCCCCATGTTATTTGTAGAAACAGTTAAATAAGATTATTAATTTTAATAGAAACTGAGGGCCAATATTTAGAAATTGAGATTGTTAAGATTATTTTTAAAGCTGTGGCAATACAGGAAAATTCTAAGATTTGAGAAATAATGTGGATATAAAAGATGCTTGTGTGGAATTTGAGCCCTCAGGGCACAGAATATTCAGGAGGTCTCTTCTTATCCATAATTCCCAGCTTTTTTGGAGTGTGACATTATATTATTTTATTGTTTGTTTATTAGTATTTCTTGGTTTCTAGTTCTTCACTTTCATTCAAAAAATATTTTGGCTTATCTACATTTCATATATATGTACAAGTCTTTGAACATTTATGTTACCTCTTTAACTAGAGAGATACTGGGTTAACAGAGAATCCAAATTGGAAATTACTTCTTAGTATTAATTTTTATTCTTGAGACACAGTCTTTGTGGTGTAATGTTTTTGTTATATTTTTCTATATTTGTAAATTCTACCTATTGACATGCCAAAGAAGACATTGAAACAACTTCTAATAGTGAAACATAATGGATAATGGGTATTTCAATTTTCAAGCTACTGACTGCAGGTGTAGATTAATGTTGGAACATTTGCCTGCCAAAAGTAGGAAGATAGAAAAAAGACAGCAAGGAAAAGAGAAAATACAACAAAGATTTTATTATGCATGACTATCGAAGACCTAGATATGAAAGAACTTTTGGTTACTACAGCTGAGTGTGTCATTTAATTTCAGCTTTGCAGGATCAGAGGTAAACAAAAAGAAACTTAGGGGTGCTATATTGTTCATTGTAAGACATTCAGTGAGTAAAATTTTCTTTTGGCAATGGCCAGGTTTTCACACAGATGCATTTAGGAAAGTTTCATTTTCATTTCTTAAGAAGCCTTTGTTGAACACCTAAAATCAATAAAAGTCTCAATAGTAAGATGCAGAACACAGGAAACCAGGAAGGATAATGGTTACAAAAGGAAGGAAGTACTTAACTTTCACTAGCAAGAAAATTCAGATTGGAGGAAACAAGATGGGTCATGAAATAATGCGTGAAAATTTATTGCAGCGATAAAGGAATAAATAAACAAATAAATGGAGAAATGTTTGGGCACAGAACAGCTGATTTTGACTGAGGATGATGTTGTGCTCTTCCCGCCCAAGAGACATGTAGCACTGTCTGGAGTCAGTTTTGATTGTCGTCCCTGGAATGCCACAGAGCTGTATTGGTGCATAGCAGGTGGGATTCGGGGATGT